TTCTCTCAAAGGAAGGGGGGGATAAACCCCCCCCCCCCCGTAAACTGCTATGAAGAACTGGATGTGCACATGACTGCGGGTAATCCCTTCACAGAATATTACATTTGGGGTTTATGGAAGGATTATATCTATTTGTTCTGACTAATGCTCCAGGAGAGCCGGGCTCTTGGCAGGGTCAGTGGAAAAACAACAGCACGCCGCCTGACTCTTAACCTGGCACACTATCGGCATTGTGTCAATTGGCGCATCATTCCGCGCAGGTGACGGCGGAAGCCGTTGGAGCGTAATCCCGCAGGAAGACGGGTCAGTGTGTGTAAACAACACATGTGAAATCGTCCTTCTACTGGCAGAGCGGAATACAAACTTGGGGAAGGAAGATTTCCGGGACCGCTCAAGACGAGGAACTCCGCTGAGCCGGCCTCGGATCTGTGCTGATCACATGACGCTGCTGCCGGGGTCATTATAAGAAGTCGGCACGGAGGGGAAAAAAGATTTGCCGCCTTTTTATAGCCATTTCTCTCTTTTACTGAAGAAGAAAAAAATATTGATTATTTGCTGGTTTGTCTATTTCCGCACGTTGAAATTCGGACTCTTTTTTTTTTACATATTTTTTACACAGTCATGAAATCAGAACGTCACCTAATAATAATAATAACGTATCAAATCAGAACACTGATATCAAAGTATATTAAAGGAAAAATCACTGAAAACTAAAATGTGATTTCTAAAGTCATTTTTAATCTTTTAAAATAATCCCCCGGTGATCCTGCCATGAAAATCCTTTTTGGGGCTCTTCCCGTTGTAGGGTGACAACGCTCTGTCCTGGTCTCCCAGTTTTGCTCCAGTGTGGTCACTTTGGCATATGCACCACCGATACAGCGTGATAAGTAAGGCCTGTTGTGGTCTAAAACAGGAATTATGTTGGGTGTGCAGCAACTACAAGTGGCCATGCCAGCACACAAGCATGGACCACCATGACCTAGTCTAGGTCAATGAGGTACGGTCCACTCTGATGGGAGTGCATAGAGATAGGAAGAGGCAAGCACCAGTGAGGAGGAGGGGGGGAAAAAGGGGAAAACTATTTTGCTTGTAAGCTAGTCAGCTTGAGGTAGTAGATAACCGGAGAACCCACTTGGAGTGTGTAAGGCTCTAGACTTGGCTGCCCTCCCATGCAATGTGCAGAGTTGTGTTAACTGGATATATTTACAGATTTTAATTATTATTA